ATTCATACAATCATAATAAATGTATCCATATAACAAGTATACACTAGGAGTTTGGTTGGCTAAATCGAACTCCCGATCGACTTATCGAGGCGGGTGCTAAAATGACAGTGCAAATAGTATAGTGACTGTCATTGCAGCTTCCTCAAGCAGGCATGCAAAATCATAAATCATAAGAAATAACACTAATGATAACTATACCACCACCGCCGCCGTCCGGCCTAGTCATCAATGATGATACTAATTGATAATAATAGAGTTTCACCCTAGTGATATGAAAACACTAGTGAAAAACATATTTTACGACTACTGCAGATGACCACGAATATCGCCTAGTCGCGTAGGGAGACGAGTGAAACTCCATTGACTCATACTGATTTTATTTCTAATGAAAATGGAGTTTCACCCGCCTAACAATGGAGTGGCGTAATACACTATGTGAAAAACTACGCGATATGGAGTGAATTGAAAACACTTCACCAACCACCCCATATCGTCATTATGTAAAACCTCCAACACAACTTCTATATGACCCCAGAAACTCACTAGCCGAGAGTTTTCGGCAGTGCAAGGCCGACACTCGCCGCGGACTTCTCGAGATCGATCTCGTGCTCAGCCGGCACAGCTATGTCGTAGTAGTCGAGTAGTGACCGTAACGACTTCAGTGAATGCTTATACTCCATATACCTGCATTAGAACACATAATTTCAGCTCCATCTCAAACTACTACTACAGTAGTAGTATGCAAAAAAATTTTTTCTAAGAATAAAAAATTTTTTTTATTCCTACTCCAACACTGTATAGGAAACTCCTGAGCTCAGCTGGTGAGGAAAGCGAACATATACTCCAAAACTGCTCAACACTGAAGTTGTTCTCTATATAGTAGTTCCCAACGCCCTTATTACATTTCCTGGCGAGTGACGGTGGCGTTCCGACCGATCGCCTGCCACCACAAACTGGACCTTCTAGTCTCCTCTGCATCAAAGGTCTCCTCCCCATCCCTCAGCCTTGCAAATTCCCTTTCTTTCTTCGGCTCCTTCACAACACCAGCTGCGTGTAACTGCTCAACTGCCGTACAAAAAGCTCTTGGTACCGCTCGCTGAAGTCCAGTACTGGCAACCTTCGTGAGCATTAGAAAGGAAAAACTTGAGATTTTTCATACCATTATTTTACAAACTAACACCGAACAGGAAAAAATCTTCCATAGAAACTTCCTAGAAGTTAACATTGGAGAAGTGGTAGTCGCTTCTCCATCGTATAAGCGTCCTTCGGATCGAGATCAGGATAATACCCGGGGACCTCGGCAACCTTAGCAAAGCCGTGCTTCTCGTAAAAGCAAATCGCAGAAGCGTTGTTGACCTGAAACGATAGTGACAGTTGACGGTATGAAACATTAGTATCAATGGAGTTTCACCACCCTAGTGAGATATGAAAAAAACACTGGAGTTTCACACGTTTTATATGAAGTGGCGTAAAACTCCGTAAAAAACGCGATATTCGCGCCTTGCAATAGTCGTGAAATTTGTTTTTCACTAGTGTTTTTCATATCACTAGGGTGAAACTCCACTAGTGTGAAAAATATCCATTTCACGACTACTGCATATCGCCGCGAAAATCGCCTTTTTCACAGAGTATTACGCCGCCACTTAACGTAAAGTGTGAAACTCCAATATTTTGATACATTTGATGAGAATCTTTCAAGTGTATTAAAACTACCTGTACATCTAGGCAGATCTTGACAACCTGTCCAGCTGCTAGGCCCTCCTCATTATTATGACCATGATGATGGTGATGACTCGCCGATGCTGCCTTCGCCTCGGCTAAGGCAGTAGCTCGTCTTTTCTCGAGTTCATCTTGGAGGGCCTTGAGGAGGGTGGTCGCCACACGGCATCTTCGGAACATGGGCAGGACTGACAGCGTCATGATGTACCTAATAATCCACAACAATCACAAATCACAGTGTTGAAGTATGAATATATGTTCGCTTTCCTCATCAGCTGAGCTCAGGAGTTTCCTATACAGTGTTGGAGTATGAATATATGTAATCGCTTTCCTCAGCAGCTGAGCTCAGGAGTTTCCTATACAGTGTTGGAGTATGAATATATGTAATCGCTTACCTCAGCAGCTGAGCTCAGAAGTTTCCTATACAGTGTTGGAGTATGAATATATGTAATCGCTTTCCTCAGCAGCTGAGCTCAGGAGTTTCCTATACAGTGTTGGAGTATGAATATATGTAATCGCTTTCCTCAGCAGCTAAGCTCAGGAGTTTCCTATACAGTGTTGGAGTAGGAATATATGTAATCGCTTTCCTCATCAGCTGAGCTCAGGAGTTTCCTATACAGTGTTGGAGTATGAATATATGTAATCGCTTTCCTCATCAGCTGAGCTCAGGAGTTTCCTATACAGTGTTGGAGTATGAATATATGTAATCGCTTCCCTCAGCTGAGCTCAGGAGTTTCCTATACAGTGTTGGAGTATGAATATATGTAATCGCTTCCCTCAGCTGAGCTCAGGAGTTTCCTATACAGTGTTGGAGTATGAATATATGTAATCGCTTTCCTCAGCAGCTGAGCTCAGGAGTTTCCTATACAGTGTTGGAGTATGAATATATGTTCGATTTCCTCAGCAGCTGAGCTCAGGAGTTTCCTATACAGTGTTGGAGTATGAATATATACTCGCTTTCCTCAGCAGCTGAGCTCAGGAGTTTCCTATACAGTGTTGGAGTATGAATATATGTAATCGCTTTCCTCAGCAGCTGAGCTCAGGAGTTTCCTATACAGTGTTGGAGTATGAATATATGTTCGCTTTCCTCAGCAGCTGAGCTCAGGAGTTTCCTATACAGTGTTGGAGTATGAATATATACTCGCTTTCCTCATCAGCTGAGCTCAGGAGTTTCCAAAGCTGATTATACAAGTACGGAAACCAACAAGAATTTCCTAAAATTTCCCCAACACATGTAGATGACTTTGTGCATACTAAAAGCTGATAGAATATTCAATCGAAATATCCATTATTACATTTTCATGCCTTGTGAAGGGTCCTTGGGATCAACCAGCATAACACGGCACCCTATAGCGCCGACCAAGACGTCGCACATATACGCGAGTTTCACAAATCCACCGTTATCCTTGAACTTGAGTAGACCTTCATAGAAGTGCTCGCCGTAATGAACGGGGAAAGTGAGCTCATTCAGTAGTTTCACTTGAGCGATATTCTGAAAATAATTAGAGCCAGCAACCAAACCACCAAAAATTCATATTACGTACCTTGTCAGTTAAGTCGACTAATATAAGGCGGAAAGGTGGCTTATCGAGAGCCGCCTCGAGGGAAGCATTCTGCTGCACATGAACCGTGGGTAGTGGTGACTCAGTTGCTGGAGTGGTAGAAGGCATAGTAGAGGAGGCTATAGCTTAACAACGATACTGTGGAAAGACTCCTTCCAAAAAAAGATACAAAGATAAAATACAAAAATGAAAAGATACTTTGTACCTCTTTCCGAAAAAGGTACATTATACGACTCCTAAACTAAAAGCTTATAAACTAACACTAAACAGGAAAAAATCTTCAATAGAAACTTCCTAGAAGTTAACACTGGAGAAGTGGTAGTCGCTTCTCCATCGTAAAAGCGTCCCTAGGATCCATACGAAAGGCCATCGGGAAAGGTGACTTCCGTATGAGAAAGTACCCCAAATTCTGATGACCTTTTAATAAGGTAGTGCCCCGAAGCGTTATTCCCAAATGAAACTTTCTGATTGAAAAATCGTAAAAACGACCGAATTTCTTCCTCAAGTAGCTCGCGATATGATCCTAGGAATATCATGTTGTTGTACAGGTCGCAGAATATATACCGCTATAATAATCTATGCCACATATTCATATTGACCGTCAGATTATAAGTAGAGCGAAACGACTCATATTGTGCCTAATTTCAACGGAAAGAATTTCACCCGATTCTCTTGCGATTTGAACAACCCTGATCTGGCGTAGCAGATAGTAGCTCGGTAAGCGTTGTAGTATAGTTTGGGTACACTGTACATATGCGACCACCGC